AGGCAAGTGCTCTACCGCTGAGCCATAACCCCAGCCCCAGAGTTTCTTTCTTGTTGCTGACTTTTGTTTTTAAGATAATCCGTTTCAATTTTTTCATATTTCAGCCAACTTCATTTTCAGCCATTTTATAATGTCATCACAAATAACCCTGATTCATTTCTTCATTTGATAACCATACACTTCCCTTTAAAATATTTTTTTTTTTAATTTTTGGTACTGGGGCTTGAACCTAGAGGCACTTAAGCACTGAGCCACATCGCCAGCACATTGGCAGTATTTGCATACTTCATTTTTATTTTTTTATTTTGAGATAGGGTCTCACTAAGTTGTGGACACTGGCCTCAAACTTATAATCCTCCTGCCCCAGGCTCCTGAGTCACTGGGATTACAGGCATGCACTACCAAGCCAGGCACAGTTCACATCTTGATAAAAGATTGTTTGTGAGGACATTTCCCATAAGTTCATCTAGTGTTATGCTTTAAAATAATCACAAGGATTCTTAGTGTCTTTGTTAGTTTACTCAAATTAAGATGTACTATCATAATTTGTGGGTCTAAGCAGTTACTGCTTATAGAAGCTGCAGTCTTCTGATAGTATATTTTCTCTAGACACTGTATTTACTATTCTTACTAAATTACCTGGGGCCTAGATCTTGTCTCCACCCAGATGAAAGAGAGTTGTCAAATAGCTCCTTTCCTTAACTTGAAATCTATAACCCCAAATAATTAACATGCAGGTTTGGATGACTGGCTCTGCTTTTTGGAGAGGATGTTATTAATAACAGCCTTTTCTTTAGGAGAAAAAAAGGTTAGGCTTATTCCTTCTTTAAAAAATAAATAAGTCAACAAAAACAAATAAAAAACCCATGCCTGTTGCCAACAAAAGTAATAAAGAACATGGTCAATGCTTATGAAGTCCATTCAAAGGGCCTTGGATAAATTCCAGATCCTAGGATCTTTTAACTACAATTGTATTGAAAAGGAGTTGCTCCTTGGTCCTGTTAATCCTGGGGGGGTAGGATTCACCACTCCTGCTGAATCATCATAGGCCAGTGAACAGTGGATGGCTGCACCCTGAACTGAACTGAAAGAGGTAAAAGTAAAAGCAAGAACTATCTCAATGACTTTTCTCTTTGCTAACTGGCAGTATATAGCCAGGTAAGGAATTCTCCTTTTACAAAACCACTTAATTTGAATCCTAGGGAATTGTTTCAACTCAGAGTTCAGTTTCCATTGCACTTCATAGAGTATTTCTGTTAGTGATTCTTTTGACAGGAAAGCAGACACAAGATCCCATAAACTGACAATCATCTATACAGCTTGTGCTGCCAATATGAAACAAGTTTGGTCTTGAACCTGTAAGTCCAAATTAATCAACAGTACTGCGGTAGAGAAAAATAGGAACTTTAGCAGCTTAAGAGCTGACAGGCTGTGGTTTTGCACACTGACACACAACAGCTCTGCTTATTGACATTTAACCATAGAGGCTTGCAGTGTCTAACAGATACCTGTAAAAGATAACTGCAGTAGCAGAAGCAGGAAACAAAGCAATGGGGACAGAACAATCCCCCTTTAGGCTTAGTGCAGTAAAGGTCTTTAAGTTGTATGAGCTAAGAGTCCCTAGGCTGTTGACAAGCTTGCATCCATGTAAGGAATATAGAATGCACCCTCCAATAGAACTGTACCAACTCCCTTGCCTTGAGGTACTCAAACTTGCTTATGTATAAAAGTAAAAGATTTGTGGTACTCAGGACTCAGACTTTGGAAATTATCCCTCTGGGCCACAGCAACACTAATAAAGTATTGCTTCCAGATCTTTTGTGTCCTGACCCTCATTCCCTGCTACAGTATTACTTGGTAATAGTTAGGAAATCAGACATTTAATTATAAACTCCTGCCTTCAGCATTAGTATAGAGGTAATCGTTCTCACCAAATCAAAATCAGGTAGCTGCTTCAACACACACACACACACACACACACACACACACACAGAGCTGCTGTTGTAGCTCAGTGGTAGAACACTTGCCTAGCTCATGTGAGGCACTGAGTTCAATCCTCAGCAACACATAAAAACTAAATTAATAAAATAAAGTTACTGTGTCCATCTACACCTTAAAAATTAAAAAACAAACACACACAAACAAGTACCTAATTTGTCCCAAGAAGCTGATTCACAATGATATACCTAGCCTAATTCTCTCTTTAGATCAGAAGCCAGCTTGTCACAAGTTATGAAGGATTCATTTCTGTTTTCTGTAAAAATATTAGGATGTCTGTATGGCCTGGCCATTAGTTAATGTTGTAAAGCTGATTGGAATGTCTGCCCCTGCCCTGAACTCACCCATGCCCGGTTTTCCCTGACCAGATAACAACCCTTTCCTAAACCTTAGTGACGCCTCATAAATTCTGGCCTTCCCTGGCCGGATAACAACCCTCTATGAGTCTCTAAGACCTCCATAAATTCTGATGTTGGGGCCAGCAAAAATGTGAACTTGTGTTATGCTCCTCAGAGTTTTGTTATCTGTAACCCCTCTTTGTGTAACTTTTTGGGCTATAAAACTGGGCTGCAAGGAAGCTTGCCCGCAGTCCTTGGCTCCCACGATTTTGATGGGAAAGACAGCCCGGCCGGTAGAAATAATAAGCTTGCTTTAATTTGATTTTAATTGGAGTCAGTGGTCTTTTCTTGCGTCGTGGTCTAACAACAAGTCCTGGGGTAGGACCAAGCAACCATGTTTTCAAAAATGTTTCTAAGTGATTCTGATGCACAGAGAGTTGAAATTGTCATGCAATGCTGATATAAACAATTGTACATGATGGAGGGGAATGGGGTTCATGTATCTCAGAGGCAGGATAACCTGTGCCAACGATTATTCAAAGTACAGAAAAATATTTTGCATCTTTCTGGAATGTCAATTTTGCTTGAGAGATAAGCAGTTTAAAATATTTTTATTTTGGGTAGAAGTTATGTAGGTGTACATAACTGTCAAAACTCATTTGACTTTTGATAGTTTTACATTTGTGTTTATTAGATTTTAATAAGTATCATTTATATGTCAAAAATGACATTCTACTCTGGAGTAGAATGCAAAGTTTGCATTTACTCTTTAGATGAACTCCAGAGACTTAAAAAAAATCTCCCTCTTAGATGGGCCCCTTATACAGGGTGGCAACCATTTAATTTTCCTCTGCTTAGGGTTGGGAGAAGAGTTTTTGAAAGGAAAAAGATTTTGAAAGAAAAGTTTTTGAAAGAGGGGAAGGCTTTTTGAAAGGGCCTGAACTACACTTTGAAAATCTCTAGATTTAGAAATCCTTTCACTTCAGTGCTTCTCGTTCGTTTCACTGACCTGACTTGTCCCCCACTCATATTGGCTCTTTGCCCTCTATCACTGACGTTTTGTTTAACAATATTACAAAATCTCAAAAAAATTGAATTCCACTTTTTGATATAATTGGAGACTTTGTTTGTTGGGGTTTCTTTAACTTTTAAGTGACCTTAATTTTTTAAGCTTTTTAAGCTTTTTTTTTTAACCTTTTAGATTAGCTATTTTTATGTTTATTGATACTGAGGAAGCAATCTAATAACTGAGACAGCCTCAGAAATTGCACACCGAAACATCTTTCCCACTGTAGTGTTTTGAAAGGCTATGGGGATCAGAGACTGAGAAACCGATGTGATTCCATTTTTGAGAAACCAGCCTGTACCTCAGAGCAAAGCCTGTCTAAGGAAGGGGGTGTGGCCCTTGTCCTTGGAAAACCCCACAGAGCACTCCTAAGCACATACCCACCCTGCTGAGTTGTTTGTCTGCAAATAACAGGAGAGATCTGTGGTGCCAGAGGTCCCAGACTCAGTTAGGCTAGGTGAGGACTCACAGCAACCCCCTAGCAACCACCAATCAGCATGAGACAGGGAAAATACCTGGGATGCCAAATGACCCTCCCCTTAGTTTATGGTGGTTGATAACATGTCAGGAAACCATGTAATTCAGCAGTACTCCCCTCGTGGCTTAAACCAATCAGTTCGAAAGAATCCCCCTCTTGTACTAACCAATTACCCCTGACGAACTTGTTTGTGCCAGTGAATGTGCTAATCAATGTTAAGAGTTGTTGTTTGATTTTCCCGTGGTGTGTGATAATTTGCTAAGAGATGCTATGATGTATGTAAAGTCCCTGCCTTCCCCCAAAGAGTGTATAAAACTGCTGCAAACCCTGGGCTTGGGGGCCTCTCAGTGTCACCAGTTGCTGTGTGCGCAGAGGACAGAGCTAGCTCACAATAAACGCCTCTTTGCTGCTTACATGATCTTGGACTCTGGTGGTCTTTTGGTGGTCTTTTGGGGGTCCCGAACTCCAGCATATCAAGACTGGTTGTAGGTAGGGACTTGCCTAAAAATTGTGAAAAGCTGCATTTTCTGAATTGGAAACATAGTATTGGAGAGTAATGAGTCAGCAGCAAGGGTTGAATTTCTCCTATCCCAAGGGCCAAAGAGTGGGTAGCGGACAAGAGTAGAGTCTGAAGAGTAGAGTCAGGGCCTCAGGGCTTTGGGCTACTTTCTCTCCTCATGGAATCCCAGCGTCACCTACGAAACTGGGATAGAGTATATTTCTGCTTGCGGATTTAAGTAACGTGAATTACTATGATTTATGGAGTGCAAAGGCACAAGCTATGAAGCCAGAGGATTTAGCAGCAAGACAACACGACCCACAGACCACTTCTCTGTTAGACGTGCTCCAGCCACTTGAGTTCCCGCAAGCTCTGCGCAGGCCTCAAACCCCTAGAACAGCCCAGGTGGGTCCGGGAGCGGGCTTGCGCCACGCCCCCTTCTCGGGGAAGCCGGGCCCTCCTTCCGCCCCACGTGCGCTTGCGCTACCGGTGCAGAAGCGTGTCAGGACAGTGGAGCGGGGTGTAGGCGAGAAGCTTCCGAGTTACGGCTTCTTACCTTCTCAGGATAGGCCGAGGTCTCCTAGTAGTCTTGCCTCCTTCTCACACTCTTACGCCGGGAAGAGGGCGGTTCATATCACACCTCGCCGGGAGCAGACTGGTTTAGACCCGCCTTTTCCGTCCCGTTATATAAAGCGGTTGGCTACCCTGCTGTCAGTCAGAGGCAGCAAGAGCGGCCTGAGAAAGGCTCTGGGTTTGTTTTGCTGGGCGACTTTATGTCAGCTTGGCTGTCAGCTGCGAGAGTGCTTTGAACTTTTAGGTGGAAAATGCCGGAAAGTAACTCCACAGAGTGGAGCGACATTAGCGCGGTGCAGGTGGCCGCCGGGTACCCAAGCGTTGTCTTGGAGACAGGAGATCGTGGGGGCGGTGTGGGTGGAGGCTTACAGAGGTTTCCTTTTGGCGTCCCCTAGGTAGGGGAGGATGCGGCGAAGTGGGTGGGACCGGGAGTTTATTCCCTGTTCTCTTGCCGGCAGGATGTGGAATTCGTGTTTGGCGTCCTAGGCATCCCGGTGACCACGGACATCCCCCTTGCATCCCAGGAGCTGGACATCAGGTATGTCGGGATGAGGAATTAGCAAGTGGTAAGGACTCTGGTAACCGAATGCATTATGGGAATGATAGATAATAGTAGCACCTGTTCATTGCAAACACTCAGTGTTTACCATTTCTCTAGTGCTTTCCAAATGCATGGTAGGCCAGTTCTCTCCCGCTGATATACCCTTACTTCTAACTTTTAGTCTTCCTAGTTGGGAGAACCTTCTGTTCTTTTATCGAGAGAAGATGAAGTGATTGATCTATTAATACGAGCTATATTTTACTGTTTTTCTGGAAGTGAGTTTACCTGCCACTGCTGTCTTCATACAGAAAACATTTATTGAATGTGTATTATGTTTTGGATACTGTGCTCCATAACTGGTGGAAGAGAGAAATATAAAGAAGGAATGAGGTGTAGTTTTGACCTTCAATTTGATCGAATTCTGAGAAGATAAAGGCAAGATATGCAGAAAAAAAACAAGATATACTTAAATAGGAAATGTAGTAGTACAGAATGGGTGACTGGTTCTCTTTGGGATTTGCTTGACTATGTGGACCATAGTGCCGCTGACTGAGACTGGGAAATATACAGGGAAGAGCCAATTTGGAAGGGAAAGGTTATGAATTCAATTTGAAATGTGAGTTTGAGATGCATGTGGGACATCCAGCACATATGCCCATTGGGCAACCAAGACTTAGTGCCTGAATTAAAGGAAATGACAGGATGATTCAGAAGGAATATGACAACAGGATCAGAAGACATTCAAGAGTATGTTTGTGTTAAAGAGAAGGGTGTAGTTGGGTATGATTTGATTGTCTTTCATCAGATTCTTGGAGTAATCAAGACATAATGATCATATTTGGCTAGCAAGTAGGCAGACTGTTGTAAAGTCAACTGTTACTGAGTTTACTGTGTTCAGACACTATTCTGAGTGTTTTACATGTATTAACTGATTTCGTCTTCACAACAATGCTCTGAATTATGTTCACTTTATAGATGAGAAAGCCAATGTACAAGTAAGTTGCCAAAATTACACAGTAGAACCCCATAAAGTGGCACACACCTATAACCCCCAAGCTACTCTGGAGACTAAGGCAGGAGGCTTGCAAGTTTAAGGGCAGCCTTGGCAATTTAGTGATCCCCTGTCTCAAAAAGGAAAAGGTTGTAGCTCAGGGATAAAGCACTCCTGGGTTCAATCCCCATTACCAAGAGAAAAAAAAGAGAGAAAGGTTTAAACACAAGTTAGGTATGGTGGTACATGCCTATAATCCAGCTACTTGGGAAATGGAAGCAAATGATTGCCATTGGAGGCCATCCTAGGCAATTTAGGAATATCCTGTCTCAATTTTTTTTTTAAAAGCTGGTGATGTAGCTCAGTGTAGAGCACTTGTCTGGCATGCTTAAGACCCTGGGTTTCATCTTCAGCAGCACAAAAAGAAAAGAAAGAGAATATTCAAGCATAAAGATGTACGGTGCAGTGCTCTTAATACCAAAAATTATCCAGCAATTGAGAAGAATATTTAATTGTGGTATATGTGTAAAAAAAATGTAGCCTTTAAAAATTTTAAGAACTAATGACAAAGTAAAACATTTATAATAAGTAAAAGTATATGAGCCAGTATTATATAAACTCATTTATAGAAAAAAAATTTGCATATCAAAAAAGACTGTATGAAAAGAGCCCGGGGCACTAATAATAGCTTACAAGTTGACATTATTATGGGGTTATTTTGGAGTTTTCTTTATACTTTCACTATTTTTTTCCACATTATCTAAAGTGAAGGTGTTAGAAACATAATAAACAAATGAAATAAAATTTACAGTTTCTGTCCTAAGAGAAACACTACCTATGTGGCGGCTCACAACCCTGTTTGCCCTATGTGGTTTGGCCCCATCCCTTTTGATGTTTAATGAGTTATCTGCAATTGCTATTTTCTCCCCACCTACCATATTTATTCTACTTAGTTCATCTTGTACATTAGCATTTACACAGAGTAGGATTTTTATTACTTTAGTTTAAAAGATCAGATTTACCCTTTAAGCTAATTTGTAAGCTTAAAGTATAAATAAGCTCCAAACTATTTAGACTTCAGAGATACTTGCAGAATAATTTAACTAAGAAATACAAATATGCTTTTTTGTGTTATATCAGATTTTTTTAAATGGGCCTCTGCAATTGGAGAGACTAAGTTGGATTTTACATTTGGGCTGCCTCCAACATAACAGCCATGTATTAAGTTTACACAGATACTCAGAAGAGATTTCAAATGAGAGCTATTTGTGGTTCATTGTTCTCCTTCTCAGCCATTATCAGCTCTGCTTTCTTCTTGGCTTTTTGTAAGGAACCTTTTCTATTTTTACAAAAGTAGATTTTATAAATTTGCTAACATAATTACTGGTACCAAAGTAAGCTGCCTTTTCAAACCTAGAAAATGTAGTGTTACACTTCTGACCAGAAAACCTTTCAAAATCAAGTTTCAAATAGTTTGAAAAGCACAGTTTGCCTCTTCTTCATGTTTAGATATATTTAAGGTAGAGAAAAGAATTTTAAGTAGGATTATAGATTAAAATGAAACATTCAGCATTCTCCTCTTTTTTTTTGAGAGAGAGAGAGAGAGAGAGAGAGAGAGAGAGAGAATTTTTAATATTTATTTTTTTTAGTTTTCGGCGGACACAACATCTTTGTTTGTATGTGGTGCTGAGGATCAAACCTGGGCCGCTCGCATGCCAGGGGAGCGTGCTACCGTTTGAGCCACATCCCCAGCCCCAGCATTCTCCTCTTGATGACCAAGGTCTTGAACCTAAGACCTGTACCATGCATCACCTCTAGGGAAGCTAAATTATTCCTTTTTGCAAAATCCATTTTCATTTATCCAAGGCCATCCAGAAATGGAACTTATGAGCAAATGGAATAATCATGCCATATTCTAAGAGTGGTTCTCAGAATGTGGTCCCTAAGCTACCAGCATCAGCATCACCTAGGAAACTTGTTAGAAATGCACATTTCTGGACCCCATTCCAGAATTAATGAAATCAGAAACTAAGGTGGACTCCTGCAATGTATGGTTTAATAAGCCCACTAGGTAGTACAAGCTCAAATTTGAGAGCCCCTGCTCTAGGTAGGAATCCTTAATGATGTAATTCAGTAGAATTTTTTCTTTCTTTCTTTTTTCTTCTTTTTTTTCTTTTTGGTAACAGGGATTGAACTCAGGGGCACTTGACCACTGAGCCACATCCCCAGCCCTGTTTTGTATTTTATTTAGAGACAGGTCTCACTGAGTTGCTAAGCACCTTGCTAAGTTGCTGAGTCTGGCTTTGAACTTGAGATCCTCCTGCCTCAACTCCTGAGCCACTGGTATTACAGGTGTACGCCACCAAACCTGGCTCAGTAGAGGTTAGATTCAAAACTGTAATTGATCAGCTCAAATGGGACAATACCAGAATTCCATAGAGTAGATTTTAAAATGAGGGAAGATGATGAGGTTCTCTATACTATGATACTTGAATAGATCTAAGGATTTTTACTTTTTTTTTTTTTTGAAAGTACTAGGGATTGAACCAGGGCCTGAAGCATGCTAGGCCAGTACTCTACCACTGAGGAGCTACATTCCCAGCCCTTTTTATTTTACTTTACTTCACTTCTTGAGTATCACATCTTCTTTATTAAATTTTACATATAACACAGTCTATTTATTCAGCCTTTATTGACCTCTTGGTGTTTTTTAGTTTGGTTTTTGATTTTTTGGTGGTACTGGGGATTGAACCCAAGACCTCATACATGCTAGACAAGTTCTCTTCCACTGAGTTATGTTCTCAACCCCTTAATTGACTTGTTAAATATTTTAAGAATAAACATGACTTGTTCTTCAGCTTTTTCTCTTTTTTAAGTTGACATCTGTGCAGAAGAATTGGAAAATAATGGTCTTCTTCTGGTGCTGTGACTTTGCTAGGAGACGTAGATGCTGTTACTAAACAGGTAGGAACTTTTGCCTAGGTTTTTAGTTTGTGTGAACTGGTCTTTTAAGGAATGGTTCTTGAAATATTAGTGTCTATTTTAAACCAAATTTGAAAAGGGAAACTATTCTAAAATATAACTTTCGAACTTGGTCTTTTTATACTTAGCTCATATTTCTGTAAATTAAGCATTTTTGGAAGGCATTTGAAAATTTAAAGTCATTCAGAATGCAAATGGATTTACTAAGTAGGATACCACTGCCTGAAAAATTATAATGCAACTTCCAAAAGGAGTTTTGGGTTACAGCCCAAAAAATAGCTTTACAGGATGGAAATTTTTTTAGGTTTTTATTTTATTTTATTTTTCTAAGTTAATAAAGAGCTTTTACTCTCCCAAATTGCATTCAGTGATTTGTCCAGGTTCTTATTTTTGTATATATCTTATATATTCACTCCATTATGATAGGAGATTTAAAATATTGTCACATTTATCACTTGATTTTGGATATTTGTTATCATAAGTATGTGATATTAAACTGCATCTCCAGTCACATATGAAATCACTCTGGAGCATTTGATCTGTATCACAAGACTCTGTAGGTGTTTATCAGCCTTTCTATAAGGGTTCTATGGAGGGGGTGGTTTTCTTTAAGTGTCAAAGACTAAAGAGGGCTTAAGAGCTCTTACCATAAGATGTAGAGATGGTGGCACTTCACTGTGTCCTACAGGAATCCCAGCATCTGGCAGAAATCCACACTGACCCAAAAAAAAGCTTACCATATTATTCATTTATCAGTCTTTTCCTGACTAAAGGAAAAGCAGAGAGTATGAGCACTGTGAAGGGTAGAATAGCATAGTAAGCAGTGTGTTTTCTTTAAGAAGATATCTTATATTAATGTGATAAAATTGATTTTCAAAAAGGAAAGAAAAATTGTGGTTTTTTAGCTTTTAGAACAATTTGATAAGACTCCATGGCAGTATCCTGCAGAGAGGCTGCATTGAAGGTTACCTTAGACCCCATGAAACTAGACACTTCAGGTTCATGGCTCACTTAGTCTGTGACATACATGTTCCTAGAAATCACAATGCTGCGCAGTCATACAGTAAAAACCACAAAGATGTAGTGCTGGGGCTAGTTGGGACTGTTTCTGTTAATGCCTCAGGTGGTTTTTGTTGAGCACCAGAAGGCATATGGCTAAACAAAGGCATTTACCTTGCTATTTTTATCTTCATTCAGGAACTGTAGAATAGTGAATATAGTGTACCCTTATTCTCCAGCATGTGGAGGGAGAACTATATTTCCAGACTGTCTTCTGTAGTCCTTTAATTTTAAATTTAGCGCCACATTTCAGATGAAAATATTCAGGGATAAAACTTTTTCTAAGGCACTTGTTTTCCTAAGAATACTCAGATTAAGGTTATTTAGTTTTGTTTAACCCAGTGTTTCCTAGCAATCTTTACTATAGGACTTCTTGGTATCTTTAATATGCTAGTATGCATTGTGGATTTCCAGGAAGAGAGATATTCTATGGCTTATTTGTGTCCCAAATTAGGACTATGGGATAAGTCCCCCACCCACAGGATTGTTCAGTTAGCTTCTGAGGGTGGCCATGAAACAGCCATTTGGGAATCTTATAGCTTATAGTTGTTACCTATTTCCAATTTAGTTTGGTAGTGGCTTACTGAAATTGGTTATTTTCATTGTATCTCAATCTAATTTAGAGTATATTCCTCTTTATTGTTTTAGTAATTAGTTTCCCCAAATCCCTGACTACACAGTATTCTACCATGTTCAAGAACAACTGCCCTTGCCAAGCAGAGTGATTCATGCCAGTAATCCCAGCAACTCTGGAGGCTGAGGAGGGAGGATCACAAGGTCAATTCAGCAATTTAGCAAGGCCCTAAGCAATTTAGCAGGATCCCATTTCAAAATTAAAAATAAAAAGGGCTGGGAATATGACTCAGTGGTAATGTACCCCTGAGTTCAATCTCCAGTACCAACAACTGCCTAGGATTTTAGGCTAAGCAAAGGAGCAAATACTATGGACATTTGTTGTTGCTTCAAAACTACCTTCCTTGTCAAAGGTAAGACTTCCAAAAAAGAGGGCTGAGATTGTGGTTCAGTGGTAGAGCGCTCACCTAGCACGTGTGGGGTGCTGGGTTCGATCCTCAGCACCACATAAAAATACATAAATAAAATAAAGGTATTGTGTCCAACTATAACTAAAAAAGAATATTTTTTTAAAAAAGACTTCTAAGAAATTATAGTGTTTTTAATTTGAAATTATAATAATGCAGATTAAGGAAACATTTGAAAACTGTACATGCTTAGTGTAAAAGAATATATTTCATAATGTATTCTTAGATAAGGTTTTGTAGAGATTTTACACTTGATATATCCCTTAGTGTCCATGTGATAATTTGTATACTCAGTGTTCTAAGGATACATTTACAGTCCTCCAAACAATCGAGTAGCTTTTTCCTCTCATACTGCTATCCTTGACAAATCAGTCTAAACATTTTATATACATATCCTTTGGTACTGGAGATTTAACTCAGAGCCACTTTACCACTGAGCCACATTCCCAGCATTTTTTTTCTTACTTTTTATTTAGAGACAGCATCTCACTAAGTTATTGAGACTGGCTTCAAACTTGCAATCCTTTTGCTTCAGCCTCCCAGATCTCTAGGATTACAGGCATGCACATAACATCTAGCTTAAAAATTTATATTAAATAAAGAGAATGTCTTTACATTTCTTTATTTTTCTATGATCCATGTAAATATGACTAAAAGTTTTGTGCTAATCCCACTCTCTGTGACACGCCCCTGAGTTTTATTTTAGTTTTGTTCTTCAACAGGCTTGATGCTCATACCTCTGGAGCAATAGGAATTTGTTTGGGATTTGTTATTGCAGTTGCTATAGTGGCTAAAGATAGAAACTCTTGGTTTCTGTGAAAAGGGAGACAGTGCACTTGAGTTTTCTGCACTGAAACTGGAAACCATGTACAGGTAAAGCAGTTCTGAACCAGATCATCTCCTTTTCCTAAATGTGAAAAATTATACATGAGACCCATTTGCCTAAAAATTACCAGGTGTTCCCCATGTGGCTAGGCACTCTGGGCATAGCACTGCACTAAGTGTTGACAATCCTAGAGTAAGGGTCTTTACTCTTTCAGAATAGTGTGTTCATGGCTTCCTCAACTGCATACTAAAATTTTGCAAAAGTGTGGAAAATTGTTTTGAGGTCACTGAAAAAAAATTAGTACTAAAAGAAGCTGTTTCCCTTTACAAAAATAAAACTTCATGTGGGCCATGGTGGTACACACCTGTAATCCCAACAACTTGGGAGGCTGAGGCAGGAGGATCCTGAGTTCAAAGCCAGCCTCAGCAAAAGTGAGGTGCTAAGCAACTCAGAGAGACTCTATCTCACTGATAGAGTCTCTAAATAAAATACAAAATAGGGCTAGGGATGTGGTCAGTGGTGAGTGCTACTGAGTTCAATCCCTCGTACAGAAAAAAAGAAAAATAAATAAACCCCGCTGGGATGTGGCTCAGTGGTAAAGTGCCCCTGCGTTCAATTCCTGGTACTAAATAAATAAATATATAAATAAATCTCAGCATATGTCTGATTTCTATTTGAATGCTTTCACCCAAAACATTAGATCATTAAACTATACCATTCATTTTGATCATGGTCTGTGTTTCTTGGGGACCATCTTTACTTTTAGGAAATATACCCTGAAGTGCTTAACAGTAAAGTATCACAATATATGCAACTTACTTTCAATTAGTTAAAAAATGTATATTTATAGAGACAGTTAAAGCCTTGTTAACAACTGGTGGATCCAGCTGAAGGATACTGTATATTTCTTCAATACTCCTATAGGATTGAAAATTAACCAAATAAGGGAAATATTTCACTCAATGAAAACACCATTGCCCAACATGCTTTTCAACATTCTTTACACTACTAATCATAACTGTGTGCTCTTTGCATGATAAGTATCACAGTAACCCATGTATCACAAACAGATGCTTATATTTAGCTGTGATATCCCAGTGCAGGGATTCCTACATTCCTTGTTATTTCATAATCCTTTCATAGAGGATTATGAAATAACAAGAGAAATAGGACTGCGCTTTTCTGGATGACACTTTTCTCATACTTTCAAAGACTCTTATGACCTCAATTTAAGAACCATCATCCTAAAAGGACACAATCCCTTAGGCCACAAGGACCTAAGTTTAATAAAGATGACACAAAATCAATGAGGATATCAAATCTTGTATAACAGTGTAGAAAATGAAAACCAGAGATAATTTTCTACCCTTTACTTTGGAAAACTCTTTTAAGGGTGACTTTGCAGGGTGTGGTGGTGCACGCCCATAATCCCAGTGACTGAAGGATCACAACTTAGACACTGTCTCAAAAAATGAAAAGGGCTGGAGATATCATAAGGTCCTTGCTTAGCATTTGGATGGCCATCTTAAATGACAGTCACCATTTTAAGGAAAAAGTTTCACTTTCCTGCCCCAGGGCCTTTCTGAAAAAGACTCACCACTCCCTCATACCAACGCAACCCTAACCATCTGCATTAGGACCCAGCCGCATTAGGATCCAGACGGCTCTGAGCCTCCCCCATAAAAGTCCCAGAACTCAAGCCTGTTTTGCCTTTCTCTCCTATAGTGAGATGGCCTTTATTTGTCAGCTCTGACAAACTCTCATGTGTATCTCTGCCTGGTCTCCATCTTTCATGTCTCGCTTACCCATCTCTCATTCCTCACTTTCCCTTCAGTAGTGATGCACCCCTGCATTCAATCCCCAGTACTAAAAGTAAACTAATTTATGTTTCAGGTTTTTTTCCACCTCTTCTATAAAAATCGCTGAGTGATGAGACATGCGGTCTCATGTAAGAGTAGCTACTGATGGCTACCAATAGAAAGTATGACTCTATTAAAGAACTTCATGGCAGTATCTTCCCATTATCACACTCCACAGGGCCAGTGGATATCTTACATACTTCTCTAATTCTCACTACCACCCTCTAAGGGTGAGGTAGTGAGATGAAGAAATTAAGTCTCAAAAAATTTAAGCAAATTATTATTCGAGGCCATGACAGTTGTCCCCAGCAAAGCTCTGAAACCTGGCCCTCTCTATAGTTTATTCAAATATATGTCATAATTTTTCCACCAAACTCTATATCATGACATTTCTAATTTGTTTCTCTTGTGAAGGACTTTAACCTCTGTACAGCTTAGCACAGTTGCCTTCAAATGTTCACACTAACCTTTCCATTTCTAAACCACCAAAATATGCTTTTGTAACAGTGGTCTACTTTATGCTTTGAATATAGCCTTTGCCACCGCAGCTTTTTTTTTTTTTTTTTTTTGTACC